GAAAAATATGAGGTGAGGAAGAAGAAAAGGCTAATTTATAGGAGCATTAAAAGAAGAAAAAACTGAAGGAAGAGACGAAGAAAAGACGCATGGGAGGAAGAGAAAAGACCAGAAAAACTTACCATTTATAGGAGCATTAGATGAAGAAGAAAAGGCAGAATAAAAAGAAGAAAGACGCATAGAATAGGGAGGAAGAAGAAAAGTCTAGAAAAACTTACAATTTCTAGAAAGATTTAAATGACTGCTGCCAAGTGCCACTGCATGATATTGAATTGACAAATGGAGCATTTCTCCTCCAATTTTAAAACTTATATGGGCTATTAGGTGAACCATATTTTACCATATCTTCTCTCTCAATAAAAAAACTATATCTAAAATATCTTTATTTTTTTCTAAATTATTTAAGTTCATTTTTGTTTAAATATCAAATGATTTTGTTAATATTTCCATCATTTAAATATCAATACTAGATAAAAATATGCGCACACATATATTTTTTATATTAAAAAATTAACGTGTCCCTAACGTGTCGTGTCCTACTTTTTTGGAAATTGGCATGTCGCCGTGCCCGTGTCGTGTCGTATCCGTGTCTCGTGTCCGTGTCGGTGCTTCTTATAACTTACCCAATGAAAAAGGATTTATTATTTGACATGCTACAACTACTAAAATTCGAAGGGAACCCCATAGTCAGATGATGGGAACGTGGGAAGATGCCGTCACTTGTCGTACAACATGTGTATACTTGGAGAAAGAAAAGCAAAAAGAAAAATGGTGGGGATGAGGGCAAGAGGGAAGTTAGTTAGCCTTTTGTTAGGGTGTGTATTAGAGTGGGTCCACCAATTTTGTAATAGGTGGTTGCAGAAATAGGTCGTGAGGGAGGGGTATTTCTAAGGGATCTGACAGTTCTTGTCCACTTGAAGAGCTGTGGATTCCTTGCATTGTGTTGTGAAGTTAGTTAGCCTTTTGTTAGGGTGTGTATTAGAGTGGGTCCACCAATTTTGTAATAGGTGGTTGCAGCAATAGGTCGTGAGGGAGGGGTATTTCTAAGGGATTTGACAGTTCTTGTCCTCTTGAAGAGCTGTGGATTCCTTGCATTGTGTTGTGATTAATAGAATATTGTTCAATAGGCGATCTGAGGAGGCCTATCAACTAGTATAAGAGCATCAATTTTGGGCATGCCCAGAGGAAGATGAATCGAGAACCGAGTCGAAGCATTGTAAGGCAAGGTGGGAACCATTGCGTCGTGTTGTGATTAATAGAATATTGTTCAATAGGCCATCTGTGACCTATCAATTGGTATCAGAGCATCGATTTTGGGCATGCCTAGAGGAAGATGAATTGAGAACCGAGTGGAAGCATTGTAAGGCAAGGTGGGAACCATCATGGAAGGACTGAAGAGACTACTTGAGATTGAGAAAACAATGAGAGCATTTTTGGGATATTGTTCTTGAGGGAAATTTTGGGAAGGTAGCGAAGGCTGAAGTGATGTAACTACCCAGTTTATTTGTTATTTAGCTAGCTAGTTAGTATTTGGCCCAATAGTTAAAAGCCCTTAAGGCCTCCCCGTCTGCTCATTGGATAACAAGTCCATGCCTTCCCTTTCCCCTTTCCCTATATATACTCCACTTGTATTCCCTTTTGGATCATTATTGAAATATATCTCTTCATTCCCTTTTGAGTTCCATCATGAAGGATTCTATAGGGGTAAAGCTGAAATTACCCGAGTTGGACGTAGTTGAGGATTTTTGTCCACTAGATTTGGGGGATTGCAAAGTCTTTCTCGGAATGCTTTGTTCTAGTTTGTTAGGCGTAATGCAAGTAAATTGGAAGATCCTCACCAAGAAATCCAAATCAAGTATGCACACGATGGAACTTAAAGGGACCTGTCCCTTGGGGATTCATCGATTTCTCTCCATGAGATGCACAAGGCTATTCCTAAAGAAGAATAAGGGATCATCCTGAACACTTGAAGGCGACCACCCCATCGAATATCTTCTATACAATCATGTTGAAAGGGAAGCAGCCTTGTCAATGTTTGACCATACTGATACCCCCAAGTTCAAAAGCACAAGATTGAGCGAATGGTGCAAGAAATGCTGGAGGCATGGATCATTCACCCGAGTCATAGCCCCTACTCCAGTTCAATGTTGTTAGTTCGCAAAAAGGATGGGCTGTGGCGATTTTGTGTAGATTACTGAACTTTGAATAAGGAAACGGTGCTCGATTGGAGGCCATATGGGTGAACTCAAAACTTATAAAGGTTGGTTACAAATTTCTATTGGTAGGGAATGCGAAAATCAATTGAGGAATTCGTGGCAAAATTCAAATTTGTTTGCAGAACAAGCATGAGGCACTATCTCTGGTCGGTTTACTCCAATCTACCCATTTCAGACCTTCCATGGTAGAACATCTCAATGGATTTCATTGAGGGATTGTCCAAATCTGAAGGGGACACCTTGTTTGTAGTTTTTTTTTTTTTGAACAAGAAACAAACTTCTCATTGAATTTAATGAAAAGGAATGAAAATGTTCAAAGATACAAACTCTCGAAAGAGTGAAAAAGATATGAGAAATTACTCTCCCCAATTGTAGCAGATATGAGGGAGAGAAATTCTCAAACATGGGTGACATTGAACTCCACCGTGAAGCCTTAAATTTAGCCCAACTGAAATGATCCAATGGAGGTTTGCGACGATCTTTGAAAATTCTGAGATTTCTTTCGTACCAAAGCTCATAGAGCAAGGTCCTTGACTCCGTTTGACCACAGCAAGCTACTTTGTGAAGATAGGATTGGGCCAAGGAGTAATTGGAGAACTTTATCCACTGCCATGTTGCTGAAAACCAAAGATAAATTGAACTTTGAATAACAAGAACCAGCAATGAGCATTGGAAGAAGATATGGATCAGATTCTCCCCACTTGCTTGACAAAACATGCATATTGATGGCTGTAGACAGAAAGCAGAGAGCTTTCTTTGTAGAACATCATCTGTATTCAACCTTCCTTTAATGATGATCCAAACAAAAAAACCAATCTTCTTTGGACTTTTTGTTTTCCAAATAGCCTTATAAAGATCAGAAGGCATTAGAGATGTCGATGAAGAAGATTTGCAAAGAGATGCCACTGAAAAAGAGCCCGAAGCCTCCAAGGACCAGAAACTACTGTCTTCCATACTGTTCGGGATATAGGTGTTTAAGACAGCCAATAATTCAATAAATTCCTCAGCTTTCTCATCTTTAACCTCATCTTTAAGCAACCGCCTGGTTTGAATTTTCCAAGAAGTCAAAGAATCCCAATAATCAGCTACTGTACCATTAGGTAAAGAAGATACACGGAAAAGACGTGGAACTCTTTCCTTAAGAGAACCATTTTCAATCAATTGATGATGCTAGAATAAGATTCTGAAACCGGATCCCAATTTAAAAGTAGAGAAAACCTCTACCTTCTTCCAATGACAAGAAATGTTGATCCAAGGACATCTTGCACACCTGTTTGGTCTTTCCCCTGAAAACCAACAAAGATTACTCAAGCCATAAATACTTTCCACCACTTGATGCCAAAGTGCAGAAGGTTCTTGCCCAAAACGCCACCCCCATTTGGCAAGAAGAGCACTATTTTTAGTGGATAGACCGCGAACTCCCAAGCCTCCATCCTCTAAATGTTTGGAAGTGATATCCCACTGGACTAAGTGAAGCAACTTGTGATTTTCTCCGCTGTTCCAAAGGAAACTCCTCAGCCTTTTTTCAATCTGTTTTCTAACCCTGTTGGCAGCTGAAAAAGTGAAAGATAATATATGGGAATATTAGATAAAACCTATTTGCATAAGGTCTTCACCTTCCTGATTGACAGCAGAATTTCAAGGGAACCTTTAGCTAGTGACAGTGATTGGTGTGAAGCCTAAAGCATGTTCAACCGCAGGGAAAAGGGAGGTACAATTATTGGGAATGCTTACCCAAAGAGGAGGCCACATCGAAGTAGTTCGAGTGGATACAAGAGTAATTTCCCACCTTCCACCTTGAGGACAAGGTGAAAGTTTGGATGGCAAGTATTGATGGAAATGTGGGGCCACCTGCTGTACAATGTGTGTATACCAAGAGAAAGAGAAGCAAAAATAAGAGTGATCGGTAGCCTTCTGTGAGCGTGCATGCATTAGAATGGCCCCAATTTTGTAATAGGTGATCGCCACAATAGGTTGTCAGGAAGGGATATTTCTAAGGGAGGAGTCTGTTTTGCAAAGGTCGATTTCAGTAATGTTTTGTGAGCCTCATAGAGAGTTTATCTTTGAGGAAGGAGAGTTCTCGGCCTATCAAAGAGCTAAAGACTCCTTATTTTGTGTTGTGATTAATAGAATATTATTAGTCAATTTTAGAAGAAGAAAAAATATTAATGTTTTTCCATACTTGAAATAAAATCCTAGGCACCTTTAAATAAAGGTGAGAAAATTTTCTTAACAAGGAAACTAAAACATAAACTCCTAATTACATAAAATATAGGAAACTATGAATTCCTATACAAAGAAGGAAAGAATAAATATTTACAATAATTATCTAAAATATATAAAACCAACATTGTTCAGTAGGCCATGTGAGGCCTATCATCAGACTACAGTTGCTGAGAGAGAAATAATGAGACCCATTATCCAAAACCCTTATAAAATCAAGTGTATAGAAAAGAGAACAGGGAACACCCCTTTGGCCTTTATACAAGCGAGCTCATCTCTTTATTAAATAGAGACCTCAGTTTGCCTTTCAATGTCTTTAAATGCATGTATAAATAGAGTTTTATTCCTAAACACATTTTCCTTGTCAATTCATAACATCTCATACATGTATACCTGATTATGTCGCTGAGTATTTTACCATTGCAAGTGCAACATAGACTTTTAGAAATGCAACTCTCATTGATCCTTTTGCACAGTTTCTTTTCAATGCTTTTATTTTGATTTCATCACCTGTGGATGGGTGCTAATTCTTGCTGATGGCTCTTTATTTTTATTTGATAGGAAGGATGTGGTGTCATTGTCGAATGGTATACTTGCCTATGTGTTATCTATATGGGAAGAGATTTGTTGGTCCTATAACGCCCATAATTAGATCTTTAAGGAAGGAGCTCTATCTAGTCCCTTATCATGAAATTGATTGGAATAAAGCTCGTAATCAGTGTGCAAAGGTGGGTAAGGAAACTGTTGAATTTCTCTTTGAAATGTTTACTTTTGACCTAATTTTTGTCTGCATCGTCCCTTTTTTATTCTCAACTCCTTCATAGTCAATCTTCTAGGTTTCTAGATCATATATATCTTTGATAATTTTTTTTGTTCTTAGTAGATTAAATATAAGGGAATCATCTTTTACAATTTTCATAGAGCCTATGAGTCCCCAAGAGGCGGTTCTGTTAGTAAGGGCTTGAGGTCGCTTGATCATATCACCTTAGAGGTCTCAAGTTAAAATCTTTAGGTGAGCTTAATACCAAAAACCCTTGATGTCTCTAGGGTCGAGCCTTGAGGGGAGCGTGAGTGCTTTGAGTATGGGAGAGCAAATCTTTGACTCCCGATTATCAAAAAAAAAAAAGGAAAAATCAAGCATTTTGTTCCAATTGGGAGGCGTTTATTTCTCCCCTTTTAAGTTTGGTTTATTCTTAGTTGTATTTGTTTGCTTTTCGCTCCTTCGGGAATTTGTATCCTTGAACATTTTTCTGTTCCATTTCATTTAATCAATGGAGAGTTCGTTTCTTGTTAACAAAAAAAAAGGGAAAATCATAGAACTTATGTTTATTCGGAAGTTTCCGTTTTGGTCTTTTTGTCATTTTATCTGTCAACAATTTTGCGTTGTCTTTTTTCTTTTTCGCTCCCTTTGAGAGTTTGTATCTTTTGAACATTTTGTTTCTTCTCATTAATCAATGAGAAGTTCGTATCTTGTTTGAAAAAAGAACCTATGTCTTGACTTCAAGTTACTGGAAAAATAGTGAAGCCCTTGTTACTTTTATGAATGTATCATGTATGTATATGGCTGATCGGATTACAAAAGGGATTGGATTCCATTTTGGAGTTTGTTATTAATTGGATAGATAGTATCTTGGAGTTTGTTACTAATGGGATAGAGAAATCCTTATTCTTTAAAACTCTTTATAATTGCCATTCTTTCCATAAACTTGTCAAAATTGCCCTTTTGCATGGATTTTCTTTTGAGATGAAACATGCAGAAGTGGGGATCATTTATAGGATTGCTAGAGCTATGATATTCGAGATTACTTGTTGGATTAGGTTAGAGAGAATTGTTTGGTGAGATGTTCTGATTTAATTGAACTCAATCAAAGAGAGTGTTAATATTTTCCATTTGGTTTGATTTAGGTTTTTCGCTCTGAAGTAATAGTGGTCTCATGACAAGTAGAAATCTTTTTGTGAATATTTTGTTATTTATCATTTCAAGTGTGACTATTTGTGAAAGGCTCATTTCTTATTAGAAAAAAGTGTGACTATTTGTGAAAGGCTCATTTCTTATAAGAAAAAAGTGTGACTATTAGGAGGGGTGATCAAGGATAGCCGAAAAACCAAGCCGAATAATCAAAACACACTGAACACAAAAGTCTGTTGGTCATTGGTTGGTTTGGCCTACAAAAAATCGACCAATTGGTTGGTTGGTCATCCTGGACCTATAGAAACTAACTGACCGACTGAATCTTATATATATATATATATAATTTGTGGGCTGGGCTAGAGTTTCCTCTCGTTGGAGTCGGTTCCAATGCCAAACTAACACCATCCGACTGACAATAACCCCTAGTGGCTATTTGTGCTACATGGTATGCTACCATACCGTATGCAATTTTTTAAAGTAACAAGACTTTTTGTTGAAACTAGGTTTACATAAAAAGGATAAGAAACATACCCAAGGAGCTAAAAAGGTTATAAAAACTACTCTAGGTGTCAAAGACAAGGAGGTATAATTGTCGAAGCCTTTAGAAAGATAACATCAATTTGAGGCTTGAACATAGAAGCCTCACTCTCTCTTAACCGCTATGGTTATTTCCCTTTCTACCCTTCCTCTAGTGTTGAGTGTTCACGATGGGGCCTCACATCACCCAGGGTCAGCAACACCTTGTCTTCGTGGTAGAAATCTGGGAATTGCCTATTGATCTCTTCGATGGACTCCCATGTTGCAAATTCTTCCAACTAACAAGGTCATTGTGTTCTCCTATTTCCATATTTTTGCGGTTGCTAAAAATTTCCTCAGGTTCCATAATTCCCATTCGAATTCGAATTCCTCAGTTAGCTGAATGATAGTAGAATTCCCAACAACTTCAGATGTGACATATGAAAAATAGGGTGGATGGTTGAATCTGGTGGGAGATCTAGTTTGTAAGCGACTTTGGTGTTGTTCGATAGTTTGTAGTTGGTGGTCTTAATTTTTGGTTTTATGTTCCTTGGAGGTTATCCTTTGGAAGTTTGTATCTTTGAACATTTTTCTTCCTTTCCATATAATCAGTGAAAAGTTTGTTTCTTGTAAAAAAAAAAAACAATTCCA